CTTTTTCCAGGAGATGGCTGTTGAGTTACCATATTCAGAGTGAGAGCTAGGAAACGTAGGTGGGTTGAACTCTTGGGCTTGGACTTCTGCCCAGTTCTTGGGAATTTCATTGTTTACTGTAACAGCTATCGGATGAGGATTGAGTGTCCTGTAACTTTAAAGGAGCCTAGCAATCAAAGAGAAATAGTCTGTCTCTGTGTGGAGGTCTCTGGGTTGACGTACCAAGGTTGCCATTGCTGTGGGGGGTTGTTTTTGTGGGGGGGGGCTGTCCGTTTTGGTAATAATTTTAATTAATTAATTAAATTTTTTTGCAGACTTGCTTAGAGCTGGAGCGGTATCTTCAGAGCGAGCCCTGCTATGTATCTGCTTCTGAAATAAAATTTGACAGTCAAGAGGATCTGTGGACCAAAATTATTCTGGCACGTGAGAAGAAGGAGGAATCTGAACAGAAGATCGCCTGCCTTGCAAAGGAGGACCACACTAGTAGCCCGAGTTTAGAGACTAACAGCTTGAATTCTGATCTCAGCAGCGAATCTTCAGACAGTTCCGAGGAACTTTCGCCTACGACTAAGTTTACCTCTGATCCCATCAGTGATGTTTTAGGCTTAGCCAGTACAGGAAACTTGAGCTCGTCGGTGACTTCTACGCCCCCTTCTTCTCCTGAGTTGGTCAAGGAACCATCTTCTCAACCATGGAATTGTGCGCCGGGTGAATTGCATTCACCAGGCAAAATTCGTACTGGTACTGGTGGAAAGACTTCAGAAAAGGGTACTCCGGTCAACGGCGACGCCTCTCCGGATGGGAGAAGGCGGATCCACAGGTGTCAATTCAATGGGTGCAGGAAGGTTTACACCAAAAGTTCACATCTTAAAGCACATCAGCGAACTCATACAGGTGAGTACCCTTGTGTCTACTGGAATCTAACAACAGGCTTGGTCTTGGGTTTTCAGACCAGCTGTCAAGATGAAATATTAATCTTTGTCTGTTACTGGGGTCTTGGATGACATCTGTTCCCTTCATTCTGCATGGTGGACTATACACCAAAAATGTAGCACTTGAACGGTGGCCACTGCCCTAAATTTTCCCTCTAAGTTTTTCCATTTCCCTTCCATCTGTTGCTAGGATCTATTGCCTTATCCTTCCGATAGTATTGTTTTCTGTGTCTTTCCCCCATCTGCTTGCCATTCGTGATCAGTCAAATCACATACACTTAAAGGACTCTTAAGAGTGCCCTATGGCTTCACAAGGAGTGTTTTCCTTCCAGATAATGGAGTTGTCTAGTTATATGGTCGGCCTTGGGTGGTGATTAAAAGAGAAACTGATGGTAGAGTCATATTACAAAGATTCTGAAGTGAGAGCTGAAGGCCCTTCGATGATGCAACGCCTGTGAGGTTTCCCAGAATGCGAGGCATCATTTCCTCATTCTTGTTCCTGAGCTTTTGAGTACTTTACTGTACAATACTGGGGGGGGGATGGGGTAGAAGTTGGGGGATTGTGTTTCAGTCACTGATGACTAGTTCCTGATTTTTTTTTTTAAGTAGCCCGTGTTTGAGAACATTCACAATTGTCTAATCTATTCCAAAGTAGGGACCAAGCCAAAAAAATAAACACCTTAGATCACAGATATGAAACTTGGCAGCAGATATGAAACTTGGCAACAAGAAGGAAACGGAGACATTTCTAAGAAATTGAGATTCTCCCCCCCCCCCCGCCTTCAGCAAGTGAAGAATCTTCTTCTCAAAGTCAGCCAAAGAGACTGGTTCATTTGAGCATTGCCTGTTGAAAGAAAAGCTGTGCTTGGACATGCAGAAAACTCATAAGATGTGTCTATGCTCTGTGGATTATAGAATTGTAGAATCACAGAGGTGGAAGAGGCCATATAGGCCATCTAGTCCAACCCCCTGCTCAGTGCAGGATCAGCCTACAGCATCCCTGGCAAGTGTTTGTCCAAATGCTGCTTAGAGACTGCCAAGGAGGCAACACAAAACAACACAAGTCTGTAGAACCATTTCATGTTGTGGTTTTGTGAGCACTAGAAGTATACAGGGTTCTACTGCTATGAAATTTGAATATATATATATATATTTTAATTGTGAGGTTAGCAGGAAAGGAGATGAGGTGGATAGGCACTCCAGGGCTTGTATAAATCTTTTATGGCAAGAGTAACTGGGCTGGTTGCTTTTGAGCATGAATATTCTACAGCTCTTGATGACTGTGATTGAGCTGTGTAGTGCCTGCTGGCTGGCTTCCCCATTGCAGCCCAGAGTTGAAGAGCGGGCCTCGAACCGCCTGGGACAAGCAACAGATGCTCTGTCCTCTGTCTGAAGGGAGGAGAGGATGCAAGATAAGCTTTGGTGCCAGGGTTCCCCCAGCTCAGCCTTTGGGGAGATTGAGGAAGGAGAAGAGATTATTTCATAGTATCCATTTAGCTATGGAAATGAAACTATCTTACATTTGCCACAAAAGGGGAAGCACAATTTTTGACTGTTGGGCTGTAATTGTTACTTTAGAATCCCCTGCTAGGAAGACAGTTTTGCAGATGCCAGGCTCTCCTTTCTTTGTGGGCACTAATGCTAAACACAGTGAATCCTTAGGGTGGTTTTAGTTTTGACCCTAGAGAATGTAGCTTTGTGTGTTGCTAACTGTATGTTATATGTACAAAAATGGGATTTGCCGCAAGAGAAATAAAAGCAGTGGTGGGTTGGTTTATCAGGTCTTTGCAATATAGGGGTACCTTCTGTAAAAATCACACTGCTTCTTTACAGTGACAAAATCTACCCCTTGGATTGCAGTGTGAACCCCCTTTTCCCATGTACTGTAGTTAAGGTTGGATAGACTGGCTGGGAACATCAACCAGTGACTTTGAACCGATGCTTGACTTTGAACAGTTTAGACCCATTCAATGGGACAATATGGCCTTAGTTCCAAGTGGATTGCCTCAGTAGTCATCTAGACTAGACTGTGTGTCACCTGCAGAATTGATACATAACTTTGCTGCTCCTGTTATATACATACATTGCATCAAGGAAACGCATCTACCCATGTTACAAATCCTGAGAGCATTTCTTAGGCCTCTGCCCCCCACTGCCCAACACGTGCCTATCGCCATTCACACAGAGATCCAAACTTTTGTCCAACTTCCATGCCAGATTATCTGGAGAGAATTTTTACTCGCCATAGGCGAGTTGGTTGGAGGAAACTCAGGCTGGTTAATAATGTCTTTTATGTTTTTGTTTTGCAGGAGAAAAGCCTTACAGGTGTTCGTGGGAAGGGTGCGAGTGGCGTTTTGCAAGGAGCGATGAGTTAACCAGACACTTCAGAAAGCACACGGGTGCCAAGCCTTTTAAATGTAATCACTGTGACAGGTACGTCAAGGGAAACTCCCCATTTATGAGCTGCCTGCCTTCTCTCCCCCCCCCAACTTGCTTCTGTGAGGAACAGTGTGTTGAATATTTCATTTCTCAAGACATCAGGGCATTTCAGTGCATGTTAGCCTTGCCCCATTGCATCTGTGGTGCTGTCTTCCAAAATAGCATCTTAGAACAGCAACAGCATAACGTTGTTTCGTAAAGGTGAACAATTCTTACCTTTCCTGGTGGAGGTTTTAGTCCTTGCAGCCTTTTGATAGTTGCATATTCCCGAGCAGTCTGATAGGATTCCAATGGCACGACTCCCAGAGTTTAGCGGATTGAAGTTTGCAGTTAATGTTTGACTGCTGGAGGGACCCAGGTTGGGTAACAGCAACTTTGTAGCTCCAAGATCTGGAGGACACTCGATAAGAGTTGTCAGCCACCTTGAGTGCTATAAGGAAGAACAGCAGCTAATAAAGGTTTTTAATAAATAAGTGGATGGGAGAAGTCTGTAGGATCTATTTCCGTGAAAATCTAGAGGCACAGGTTGGGGTTAATTCTCCACGGTGCAGCTTTTTAAAATCTGTTGAAGGTGATCACAGCATTTAGTAGTTGGACTTGGGGAACTTGGAGGTCTGTCCCAGTCCGAACTGAATTATTGTCCCACTGGCGACAATATTACATATCTTGCACTGACAGTGCCATCTTACGCAGTCTAAGCCCATTGAAACTGGTGGCTTTAGACTGGAGTAATTCTGTAGAACATTGCATGGTCAGTGATCTGCATTCCAGCCAGTTGTGCCTTGAAATGTAAGTTAGGTTTACTTTCCTGACTCTTCTAGCATGGTGATTTATTAGCAGCAGGAGGAACAGATTACGAAAAGTCATTAAGTAGCTAATGTGTTGAGGGGATGGGGGCGAACAAGTTCACGTCTTTGCTCAGGTAGGGATCTCAGTGGCCTTGGGCTCATTGCTGTCTCTCAGACTAATATGCCTCACAGGGTGTTTATGAGGTGTCAGAGCTCCTTGGGAGTAATAATAATTGTATAGCATTATGTGTAGAATAGCCAGAAGATCCTAAGATTGTCTGGCAGCCAGAGGTTCTAGCTCTTTAGCAATACACATCACTAGGTGGTGAGCTAGACTTGTTTTTTAGGCAAGAGATGTTTCAGAGGTGGTTTGCCATTGCCTGCCTCTACGTCACGACCCTGGTATCCCTTGGGGGGGGGGGTCGCCCTTCCAAATACTAGTCAAGGCCGACTCTGCTTAGCTTCCGAGATCTGACAGGATCAGCTTGGATATCCAGGTCAGGCTCCTTGGGAGTAAAGATAGGATACTGATATCATTAGATGCAAGTGGTGAGTATTGAGTCCAAGCCCACTTTCGATCATTGCTCCGCTTTGAAAGATTACTCAACAGGCTTCCAAACACTTGATCTGATGTGCTGGTTTTCAGATTGGCCACATGGCGGAGTGATTACATGACCTCTAAATTGCGCTCAGCGCTTGCTCAGTCGCTTATTGGCTGTCTGCACTATTAAAGGAGGACTCAGGAAGTTACTTTGCTTTTTACTAGAAGTGACTTGCGTAGTTTGTGTGTTATTTAATGCTTGCCGTCACTTGTAGGAAAGTCAGTGCTGTTTCCATTTTACAGATGAGCTTCTGGGACAGCTTATTATCACTTATCAAAAATTTGTCTAGATGTTCATTTTCTCTGTTTTATCCTCACTACAACCCTGTGAGGTAGGTTAGGCTGTGAGTGGTGGGCCCAGAGTCACCCAGAAAGCTCCCATGACAGAGTGAGGATTTGAACCTGGGTCTCCCAGACCTTAGCCTGACATTACTCTAACCATTGCACTGTGCTGGCTCTTTGGCCAGATGGCCTTGACGTCGGCCCTCCCAAGTAAAATTCCACCCCTTTCTCAGGGAGACCTCACTGATGTTCTCCCCCAGTCCTCAACCACTGCTGTTTCCCAATGCAACGGCTGATTATTGTTCCTTTCTCCTTCCCTGGCAGGTGTTTCTCCAGGTCCGATCATCTGGCCCTTCACATGAAGAGGCACCTCTGAATGGGTGAAGAGGTCGAATCCTGTGCGCTAAGAGGCTTCAAGGTTTGAGCAGCCTTGAAAGAAGGGGATGCGTGTTCCAGCCAAAGCATGCCATTTTTGCACCCTAACCCAGTTGCCTCCAGGGCCTCTCTTCCTTGGAAGGTCTTCAGAGGGCTAAAAAAACCAAGTCATGTTAAGAAACGGCATAGCGACCGCACGGTGTGGGTGTGTGATGTTTAGGTCTCCTGGACTCATGCACTGGTACCCGACCTTCTGAGTGGCTTCTACGCCTTCCGCCGTGAGCACGTGCACTGAGAATGTTAATGATTGGACGGGCTGTATGTTACTAAGGATCTACTGGGCAACTGTATGCTGAGGCACATTAATTTCTGTTTGGTTTCTTTTTGTTTGTCCCTTGTGGTTGTTTTCATAACCGTAAGAGAGGAAAGGTCAGCTGAATGGGGGGGACTTTTATTTTCGTTTGCATAAGTGAGGAAGTATACCGCAAGTCACCGGTCAGTTTCCAAGGGGTGGGGAGGGGAAGGAGTGTCTGCACCTTTTTTAGCGTAAAGGGGGGGGAGTCGAATGTGAGGGGGAAGAAAAGTCAGGACACCAGAGTGAAGGGAGGGGCCCCTGTCCTGCGTGAGAGGAGCTTTTGGTGTCTGGTCCAGCTATTAAATGTGCAATGTGTCAAGTAGCTTGGTTTTACTTGCTACAGAGCTCATTTGTAATCCATTGTATAAGCTGTGTATTTACAATATAACACAACCTATAACTTTTCATTATAATACAAAGGTTATTGCATGGTTCTGGGGAACTATATGCTTTTTCCATTATTTTTTTTTAAATCAGGACTGCAATTTTTGTCCCCCCCCCCCCAATTCCAGTTAAAAGCTGCTACGACACAATTCGTTTCATGTTACGTAACATACAGAATCTGATTATTATTTTTTACAACAAAAAAAATTGTCCTGTTGGGTGGATAAGACCACTGTAGGCTAGAAACTGTTTTGTTGTTTTTTATTTTATTTTTTAAAAGAAAAAGAAAAACAAACCTCATACAGCTATATCCCCCCTCCCCCCGTGCACTCTCTTATTTATGCCTTGAGGTCTAATTTCTGTTTTTTCTAGCTGTTAATGCACTGTTGACCTTAATAATGGTGCCTTATGCAAAGCGATCTTCTCTTGTGGGAGGTCATATACAGGGGTATGGGGTGATGTAGGCTTGATTAAGGCTCTCTTGTCACCTGACGTTGTACTGTATCAGCTGTATATTAGGAAGAGGTGGGAAGACAGTGTGCTTCAGTGCAGGTTTTCCATGCACAGAAGCATCCTTTGATACGTCTGTACAATGTTTCTTCTCTTGTCACATGCTATTTTTTAAACCTTACTTATTATAGGGGGTAATAAGTTATCCAAGAATGGAGGTTTTATCCGACCAGTTCCACCTCCTTGAGAATCTGTTTTCTTTGGTCCTGTTTTCTTGACCTTGCACAATTGTCACATGTATATACATCCCCGCCCCCCAGCACCACAAAAAAGAAGTTCCCTGGGTTTGCGTCCAATGGTTCCTTTTCCCCCTCTTGGGATCCAGTGGTTTCCCTTCCATGAATTCTTTCTCCATTGTGGGCAGTCTTTCTTTGTCAAAGCAAGACTTTCCGGAAGGGGAGTGACTGGGTTCGACTTGGGGGTAGGGGGGAGAAAGCCATTGGCTCCAACGTCCTGTGCTTGGAAATGTGGTTTTGTTTTTCATGCATATTTAAAAGTGCAGGAGTATTTAAAAAGGAAAAAAAAAGATTTGCTTAAAAGGCACAAGTTTCACATCTATATATCTAGCTTGAGATGGAAGGAAATAAAATCCTTTTTTTTTGTTTGTTGGTTTGACGAAAAAAGCAAAAAAAAAGGTTACTTAAGCAGGCAGAAAAAAATTGGTGTATGTATATTTGTGTGTGTATAGTATGTGTAGCTGTGTGTGTGTGTAAATATATAGAGAGAGGAATAGATAATATATTATTTTTTTAAAGAAATTGCGTTTTGGTAGAAAGTATCCTGTGAGGAATCCTCCGCTTTCCTCCTTTTTGTTCCCAAAGGAAGTAAACAATTCAAAGGACACTTTTTGTTTCCTTCAGGTGTTTCCTTTTTTGATTCTTAGTCTTCTAAAAGGGCCCCCAACTGGCAGGGGCATTTGCAAGCACAGATGTCTGCATTGGGATATGGCCAGCGTGCTCAAAAGTTCCCCGGTGTCCAAGTGATTGGTGCAGCTTCTGCTCATGTGACACATTAGAACCCCTCAAGGTGAATGCAGGTGCAGGGTGAGGATATATTGTGCCGTTGCCAGTTCTCAGCATTTAAAATGCTATCTCTCCCCCCCCCCCTTTCATATGGAGGCATGAGTGAGACCTCTGGGGTTTTGTTCTGGTGGCATTGGGTTTTTTTTTGGGGGGGGATGGGGAACTTGTCATGCTTGCTAGCTGATTCTACTTCTGGTGTTCTGCTAGCTAACCATTGGGAAGGGCCTCAGCTGGAGCATTACTCCAAGGGTCAGCTTTGTCTCTCTAAATATTATTAGCTCCTCTGGAAACAGTATTGTTCGGCGCCATTCAAAGATGTACTTTCTAGCAAGGGCAAAAACCGCATCTCTCAACCGCTTGAGCTTATCAAGAAGGCCCAAAATTGTAAATTTAGTTAATTTCGGTATTCCTTTTTCAGCTGATGAGGCTAAGCTTTTGCATGTGCTAGAAACAGTATTTCCTAAAAGCTGGTGAGATTTGAAAACTGCTTTCCTTGCAACAATAACACACACACACACACACAAACCACATCTGTAGCCCATTTCTTGTTATTTGGGGCAGCTTTTTCTTTTTTTCCTGGAAAGGATGATCAAGATTAATGGTTCTCTGAAACGTATTCATGCAAAACTTTATCTGATTCTAAAGGAATACACAGTCCCGACCCTATTTTGCATTGCATTGGATTGTTAAATGCTTGAAAGTGCCCTTCTAGAAGGAAAAAAGAAAAAGCCCTAGGACAAGAATAATACTGTCTCTAAACTAGAGAACTCCAGTGTACGCATGGAGTTTCATGCACACAGGGACTTCCTTGTTCTCATCAGTATTGACAAATTCATTGCAACTGCACTGAGAAACGCAACTGCATATGTGGAGCACACCCTGCCCCCATTTCAAAGTCAGTCCCCTTTCTGCACGTGTGTGAACCAGAGTTCCAAAATCAAGGCAAAATGATTTTTCATTCTGTTTTGAGGGGAGATTTTAACAACTTAGTTGCAATATTCTCTGCTTAGCTGTAATTAGGAATAGCTGTAATAACGATTAAGGTGGTTTTTTCCTTTAAAAGAATGCTTTCCCTTGCTTATTAAGTAAAGAAAAAAAAACATAAAAATAAAAATTCCTGTTCCCCCTTGCACTAGTTTTCTCAACTGCAAAATACTGAAGTTGGTTTTGGATTGGATGGTGGGCTGTCTGCCAGATGTCAAAATGCCTGTCAGTTTTGTGGTAAGCAAGTACATTTTGTTCAGGTGATAACTGAGCCTCAATTAAGCTGAAAGAAAAAAAAATTGCTTGAAATTTCAGAAGAAAATTTCTATTCGTGAAATTTCTTTTTTGTTTGTTTGTTTGTTTTTGTTCTGTTTTTGGAAGCACCCTGTTATCTAAAGAATCTCTTTGTAAGATTTTTGTAAAAAAATTTGTTTTACAAGATTTTATTTGAAATTGTTTTTTGCAAGATTGTTATATTTCTGTATGAATGTATTTTTTATTGGAATAACATAAAAAAAAAATTCTTATCAGCATATTTGGTCTGTTTCTTGGTTTTCCTCAAGTGGACTATAAGCAATGTTACCCGATTTCTATTAACCTGGATTTTGAACACAGAAGAATTTTTGGTTTAAGTCACTGTGGGCCTCTGCATTTTATCAGCAATGGGATCTGATAATGTTATAAAGTTAGAACATAAGAGAAGCCATGTTGGATCAGGCCAGTGACCCTTCCAGTCCAACACTGTGTCACACAGTGGCTAAAACCCAGGTGCCATCAGGAGGTCCACCAGCGGGGCCAGAATTCCAGAAGCCCTCCCACTGTTGCCCCAAAGCACCAAGAATACAGAGCATCACTGACCTAGTGTTCCATCTACACCTTGTGGCTGATAGCCACTCATGGTCCTCTGCTCCATATGTTTGTCCAATCCCCTCTCTTTTTGGTATTTTTGCATTTGTGTGTGTGTGTGCCTGTGCTTGGAAGTCATGGTGACCTCTGGCAACTCCTACTGGGGCACAGAGGTTATTCAGAGAAGTGGCTTGATGGCCTGCCTCTGGTCTCCCATCCCTGGTATTCTCTGGAGGGTCTCCCATCCAAATACTTTCAAGGGTTGGCCCTGCTTAGCTTCCCAGATCTTACAAGATCAGGCTTGCCTGGGCTATCCAGGTCAGGGCCAGTGTTCCCTCTAAGCTGAGTTAGTGTGAGCTAGCTCACAGTTTTTTAGCCTCTGGCTCACACATTTTTGTCTTCGCTCAGGAAGGATGGCTCCAGAGCAAACGAATTGATGCAATAGCCAAATTGCTGGCTCACAGCTTTAATGCCAGTAGCTCACAAAGTAGAATTTTTGCTCACAAGACTCCATAGCTTAGAGGGAACATTGGTCAGGGCTGTCCAATCCTGTCTTGAAGCTGTATGTGCTTGTAGCCACCACTACTTCTTGCAGCAGTGAATTCCACACGGTAATTACTTTTTGGGTGAAGGAATATTTCCTTTTGGTAAGCCAAGTTGGTAAACAAATGATTAAGCCATGCCAAGAGACTCTCATTCCCATCCTACATATACTTTCATCCACCATCCACCAGATATGATGTATATATAACCAATTCTTGAACTGTTGGGGGCCTGGTGTTTTAGAAAACATCTGGGAGGACATATTTATTTTAAATACCTGAATTCCCCCCCCAATCAACTCCAGTTTCAAGACGACTGACCATATAAAAATCATTAAAAATAGATGTACAATACATTAAACAGTGTAAAGTGCCACCAAGTCACCGTCAACTTACAGTGACTTCATAGGGTTTTCAGGGCAAGTGATTAGGCAGAGGGGCTTTGCCATTGCCTTCCTCTGCAGAATCTTCCCATCCAAGTACCGACCCTGGTTAGCTTCTGAGATCTGATGAGATCAGGCTATACTATGCAATTCTACACACTTACACCCAAAAAACCTATCTAGAAATACCTTATGCACCAACTCTGTTGTCCTGGTTCAGGTTGCCCCCCCCCAACCTCAGTGGAACAACTTGATCTTACAGCTTCATCTAAAAGCCAGGAAGGTAGAAGGTCTCCTGATCTCTTCTGGGAGGTTGTTCCCCAGACCTGAGGCAGGACCTCCTGCACTTTCTGAGCTGTCTTCACGAGCAGCCCAACATGAAGTGCATTAGAGCAATCCAACCACCCATGGATTAGCAAGGTGGCTGACTCTTAAGAAAGAAGGGAGTTGGCAAACAGGGCACAGCTAGCAGAACAGACTGATTGCCACTGTCCCAATCTGCTTTTGAAACAGACATTTGAACGCAATGGGTACCAACAATACAAAACAGCACAGTCATTGAAACCAAACAGCTACTAGTCTGACATATTTTACAAGATTTCTCTTTTTTGTATTTTTTTCTTTCTTTTTTTAGTGTGTGGTGTGCGCCCATCCCTGGAAGTCATGGTGACCTCTGGCAACTCCCACTGGGGCACGGAGGATGTTTATATTTATACATTCGACTTTATACATTCGACTTTATACAGTCGATGTTCAGAGAAGTGGCTTCATAGCCTGCCTCTGGACTCCTGGCCCTGGTATTCTCTGGAGGTTTCCCATTGAAATACTAGTCGGGGTTGGCCTTGCTTAGCTGATGAGATCTGATGAGATCGGGTTTGCCTGGGCTATCCAGGTCAGGAATTATTACAAGA